CTCTCGAGTACTACTCTAGCTCCTAGCAGCACCCAGCGCTGAAGACTACTGCTAACGCTACTAGCGTCCAACGCTGCAGACTACTGGTAGCGCTACTACTACTCCTGCAGCACTCCTCCAGAGTGCTGCTGCCGACTCCTGAAGACTACCTCCTGCCTCCTGAATTGCACGTGAAGTGCCTGGGAAGTACTTAGGAACTACAGCCTGCAGGACGGGCCAGTCCTGTATAGTATTGGCCCATCCAGGAGGCTGCTCTTGCCGATGCCAAACGTGCCAGACCCTGGCGTTGAAGCTCAAACAAAGGTTGTCTTGAAAACAAGCCCAAAATGGCCTGTGCTAAAACCTTGGTCTGGTGCCTAAGTTTCAGGGCAGGTCGATCTTATGAGGGCCTAAAAATTGCCCTCCGTTTCAGGCTGAAAAGACTCACGGTCGAAAAGGCCCTGTTTAAGGCTGAAACGACACAGGGCCTGTAGGCCCTTGTTTTCAGGCTTTCAAGCTGAAACGACACAAGGCCTGTCGGCCCTTGTTTTCAGGCATTCGGGCTGAAAACGACACGGGCCTGAAAATGGCCCGTGCAGCCTATTGTCGGCACAACATGTAACACCCCCCCCTCCTTATGAAGTCAAGCCGGTTCGAGGGCGAAGCTGGCGATTTGAAGGTGGAACCTAGATGCGGGTGTGACGTGGAGCCGAAGATACCGGCTTGCCTTGCATCTCGCGTTCGTAGCGTGCGAGAACATCTGGAGTTGTTGCTTGGAGTTCCGCACGGGTCAACCAACAGTCAGCTTTGTGAGTGTCGTACGCAAAGTGTACCAAGTACTCGGTTGGCTTGTTGCCGTAGCGTCGCTGGGAGATGATGTCGCCGACCTCTTGAAAACCGTCCATAGAGGGTGGGTCTTGCGATCGTCGCCCGGGAAAATCATCATGTTCCACTGCCGTGTAAAGAGCCAACTTGGAGCAATGAAAGACCGGGTAGCCGGGCAAGTGGGCGGGCATCTGAATGGTGAAGGAAGGTCCTTCGGGTGCATCCCCAACGAGTGCCACGATCGACCAGGGCCCCATCCATTTCGGGAGGAGCTTGCGAGAGATATCTTGTTTAAGACTGAACTCCGCAGCGGAAACCCGAACGAGATCGCCGACGCGGAATGGGCAAGGAAGACGTTTGCGATTGGCCTGTTGGCTCATGCGTTGCTGGGTCTTAGCCATCTGGTCGCGTGCCTTGATAAGTAGCTCTTGCATCCGACGCAAGAAAAGAAGATGGTCGTCGCTCTCGGCCGTTCGTCTAATGATTGTGTCCAACGGAGAAGTGACCGGCGAGATCGGCGAGCCGCGCTCGAACTCGAAGGGCGACATCTCGATAGTCGGGTGGATGGACGAGTTGTACGCCAACTCCACATCCGACAGCCGCGCAACCCAATCCTTTTGGTCAGGACGGATAAGAGTGCTAAGAAGAACCTGTGCGGTTTGATGCTCCCTCTCCGTTTGGCCATCGGTTTGGGGGTGGCGAGCCAAACTTGGCTTGAGACATGAGCCCCATCGTTTGATGAGCGCCAACCAAAAATCGGATATGAATCGAGTGTCGAGGTCGCAGACGATTTCCTTGGGGTAACCCTTGGTTCGAATCCAACCGGCGTAAAGAACTTCGGCCAACTCCGGTGCCTTGGCATGATAGCGGCAAGGCAAAAACATGGCGAACTTGGTGAGTCGGTCGACCACCGTGAGAATCCCATCCACACTGGTCTTGTGCTTGGGGAACGGACCGGTAATGGTCGCAACTCGCCGTACGGACGATGGTTATGAGATTTGCAACGTCGACAAACCTTGCATGACTCGCAATAGCGTGTGACGTCGTCGAGAAGGCCGGGCCACCAAAATCGCTCGCGAGGTCGGCCAATCGTGTGATTGACTACATAGTGTTCGGTGGTGGGAGCATCGTGGAACTCTCCAAGAAGTCGCAAGTGAGAGTCAATCGGTACGCAAAGAAGGTCCTTCCCCCGCGCGTGGACAAGCAAGTACCCCTCTTGGATCCGGTAGTGAGAAGGCGCCGGATTAGGAGAGGAGCAATTCGTGTCCTTATCGCGAAACTCGGGGGCGGCTTGGTAGGCGTGGATGAAGTTGTCCCGCAGTAGGTCGTCGATCTCGAAGGTCGAATAGACTGCGGTACAATGATCCGGACGCCGTGAAAGAGCATCCGCAAAACGGTTAGACTTCCCCGAAATGTGATCAGGAAAGAAGTCGAATTGGTCGATGAAAGCCATCCAACGGGCGATCGTGCTATTGACCGTATCTTGGGTCTTGTAGAAAACCAATGGATTGTTGTCCGTTACCCATCGGAATTGACTTCGACCACGGAGGAAGTGTCGCCACCGCTTGAGCGCGTGGACGAAGGCTAGGAGCTCCTTGCGTGCATCATCAATGGAGTGCACGACGGGCACTTTCTTGCTGAAGTATTCGATTGGGTGCCAGTCCACGCCATCGTGTTGTCCGAGGACGACACCAATGCCATAGTCGGATGCATCCGTAGTGACACGCGTTGGCAATAGCGGGCCGTATATGTGCAAGACTTCCGCGGATAATAACGTGGCTTTGAGGGCCAAAAATGATTCTCGCGCATCCTCTCCAAAGTCGAACGACCGATTCTCGCATTGAAGCTTGGTTCAATGAGCCGCGATCTTCGAGTATCCTTTGATAAAACGCTGGTAGTAGCCAGCAAGACCAAGGAACGAACGAACATCCGTGACGTTCCGCGGCTCCGGCCACTCTTGGATGGCTTGAATCTTGTTCGACAACGGACTGATGCCCTCTGGTGTGACCAAATGGCCCAAGTATTCCAGCTCTTGCTGGACAAATTCGCACTTGTCACGGTTGGCTTTGTACTTAGTGACGCGGAGCGTCTCCAACACTCGTTGAAGGTGCTCACCCAACACTCGTTGAAGGTGCTCAAATGATCCTCCAATATCCTCCTATAAACGAGAATGTAGTCTAAGTAGACCAGCACGAACCGGTCCAACATTGCACGAAACTCGTTGGTCATTGCCGCTTGAAAGGTCGTCGGGGCGTTGTTGAGGCCAAAAGGCATGACCGCCCACTCAAAATGCCCATATTGCGTCTTGAACGTGGATTTGTAGTGATCGTTTGGCCGGGTTGAAATTTGATGATATCCCGACTTCAAATCCAACTTAGAAAAGTTCTTCGCGCCACCCAATCGCTCAAGAAGATCCTCGATACGAGGAAGAGGCCCCGCATTCTTGACGATTTGCGCGTTGAGCTTGCAGTAGTCGATGCACAATCGCAGATCCTTGTTCTTCTTCCGTACGAAGAGAACTGGCGCTCCATATGGGGAGCTACTAGGGCGAATCCATCCCTTATCGAACAAGTCATCGAGTTGTGCATGGAGGACCGTAAGCTCCTCCTCGCTCATGCGATAAATGCAACCTTTCGGCGGCACGACAGCGGCCTCAAGAATGATCTCGTGAGAGATCGGCCGATTCGGCACCACACCGGTAGATGACTCGAAGATGTCAGCAAACTCTTCAAGCAACCGCACCGCACGGGGGTCCGAAGACAAGTCCGTGGGTGAAGAGTCGGATATCGCAACGGTCCGTAGGAAACATAGGCCTATCTCGTTGCGCTGCTCGTAAGCGCAAGTAGCCCGGAATGACTTGGCTGTCACCACTTGGCATTGGATCGAAGGGTGCGGAAGAGGAATTGTACACGATACTTCGGTGCTGAAAGCGTCCCGAACGATAAGAGTCCGCCGGTGGAAGTTGACCATGTGATCCGCACTTGCAAGCCAAGGCATTTCCCAAAATAATGTCGAAGTTCGTGTCCAAAATGTCGAACGTCACCGGTTAGCATGCATGAGGTGCGAAATAGACCGGTACGGCCTCGATGTAGTGGTCGATAAGTTGCTGCGCCCTTTCGTCCACCAACTTGATCGCCGTCGGGTTTGCCTTCATCCGAACTTGTGTGCCAAGGCCAGCCCTTTGCATAAAGGCTTGGCTCATGAAATTGCGAGACGCGCCGCTATCCAGCAAAGCACTGCAGGACGCTTGCCCAACTTGGATGCGGACATGGAGGAGCGGTGTGTTGTTGTCATCATACCACTGCTTGCGAAACTCGCGGGCCACCTTGGTAACATACACGAGGATGTCCCCCACCGCAGCTTCGTCATCCGTCGACGAAGTTGGTGGTGCATAGAAGGATAGATATGTGTGAAGTTGAGCGCATAATGCTGCGCATTGTGGTCCCGGCAAGTGGCCCGTGGTCGGGAGAGGAAGCCATGCAAAATCCTTGGACGTGAACGGGTCCAATACCTCTATGTTGAACTCGCTCGCCGAATCCTATGAAGAACCACTTGAAGACGATAAGTTGCCGCTGCCAAACGAAGAAGATGCCACACACGTCTTGTCTTGAGCATAAGTACCCAGCATAGGAACGAGTCGGACGGCATAGTCCTCATAAGAATAGAGAAGAGGAGGACTATCGACTTCCACATGTGCCATGGAACAAAGGGCGGTCACCCGCGAAGCGACTGGTTCCGAAGGCGTCGAGAGGGTCGTCGACTTACTCTCGGCGGTGCGACGGGCAACCCACTGTCTCGTGGAGATCGTTGTTACACCACAGACAATAGCGGAATCTCGTGTGTGCCTTGCACGCATGTTCGGAGAGACCGTAGTGGGACCATGGGGCTGGAGCTGCTGCGCTGGGCCCGGGAATAGATGCGGTGTTTGTCTTCGTCTTGCTGCGTCCTCAGCCTTTGCCAAGGCGGCCACCATCCCGGGCGGCTGCAACTCTGTCCCCTTCATTGGCAGACACCGCCTCGCTAATTTGGTCAGTTGGCGTTGCCACCGCGACCACGACCACTTTCGGCCGATGCTGATCTTTGCTCAGGCCTGCCGCAAATGAACGGTGGAGGTTCTTGGCCTCCTTGTTCGTGACAATGATCTGCGCGGTGTCGGAAGATGTTGCGGCGCAGCAGCGAAAATTGACTCGCCGCGGTCAACTTCTGCGCTGCGTCAGAAATTGTGTACCGTAGTCATGGACCCTAGTACTTCGGTTAGACTTCCCTTGGGCCGAAGCCGAGGGAAGAGCGGCGCGACGGTACGATCCTCTGGAGGACTAATCGTCCCCGTTGGACTGGACCGACGTGACTGCAATGAATCAATTAGTGGGTTCCGGTCCAAACGGCACTTGAAACAGACCAAGGGTCAGCGAGATATTCAAGTTTGACTGGTTGGGACCGGACCGACACGACCGCGTAGCCCGGCTAGGAAAAGAACAGCCCTAAGTAGCCATATAGATGAGAAGCCAGGCCCAAATAATTAAAATAGGGTCATGTACTATTTTTAGCTCGGGACTGACTGTTCGTTTCCCAAAGTCGGGCCTGCGCCAGTCCCGTTCTAAAAATAGCACAGCCCCACGCTATTTTTAGCGTGGGACTGACTGTTCATCTACCGGGAACTGGGCCTGCGCCANTCATCTACCGGGAACTGGGCCTGCGCCAGTCCCGTTCTAAAAATAGCACAGCCCCACGCTATTTTTAGCGTGGGACTGACTGTTCATCTACCGGGGACAGGGCCTGCGCCAGTCCCGTTCTAAAAATAGAACTGACTGTTCATATCCCGAGGTCGGGACTGCTGCTATTTTTAGCACAGGCCCGATCTAGAGTTTAACCACAGCCCCGACCATGGGACTGCAGCACAGCCCCGATCACTTGGCCTCTCCATTATAAAAGACAGGCCACGTCACCCAGCAAAACAGATCAGCATGAGTGGTGCACGTGGCACGGATCAGACAGATTGAGAGCATGCCTACTTGCGGAATGCAGCAATGCAGGCAGAGCGGCAAGTAAGAATCTCTCACACGCGGTGACGTGGAGCGACTAGCGGGGCAGCGAGGAAGGAGAAGGACGAAAGTTACTACGTTAAAGCAAGTAGAAGGAGGGACAATCAAGACATGCAAGAAGGAGGTAAAGGGAAGGAGGGGGCTCGGGGAAGTAAGGCGGTCTCACAAGGACCACTTTGCTTTCTCCCTCATCTCTTCCCCTGTCATCTTCTTTCTGTTTCCCTCCTCGCTCTTCCTTCTTTCCTCCTTCTCACTCAGATGTGCGGGGTCTGTTTAATCCCTCGCGAGCCCATTGGCTCATAGCAAAGTTTTGATCTTCCTTTGACCGCCTGCACGCACTGTGCCCAAGGGCAGCTGGTGCTGAGCACTCGGGCTTGTCGTGCTCAAGGGATACCGTGTGCCCCGAACGCCGTGCCAAAAAGTTGTTGAGATTGGGAACTCACTCGCACTATGCCTAGGACAGTTGATACTGTGCGCCCTAGCTCACCACACTTAAGGGCTGGTGCTGTGCGATCAACTGCTCTGAGCACGAAGACTATTAATGTTGAGTCATGCGGTGAACCCTGCCATACTTCGTTGTGTCTGGGTTTGAATTCGCCGAGGTTTACGTGATCCACATTTGGAATCAGCAAGCATTTGTCATAGTATTTGGCTGCGCCGATAGGCACTCAAACAGGGTTTGATAATGGGTTGTGCCAATGAGCACTTAAGCTGAGTGATTAGCTGTGCCAATGGGCACTTGAATAGAGTATGATTTGCCATGTCAAGAGACGATTCTCTGCATAATGGTCCAAACGCGACTGTGCACACTCGAATATAAGTGTGACATTGCGCTCTGATCTTGGGTGTCGTGAGCGCACCATGTCTAAGTACCAAGTCTATGACAGTACCATATTTGAGCATTCCTCAAACAGTGCGCAGAGAACGCACCATACTTGAGTATCATGTCTGAGTGCAGAAAGCGCACCATACCAAAGTACCATGTGTTGTGCGCAGTTGAGCGCTGTATTTGAGGCATTTGCCACTATGCGCAATCGAGCGCTGTATCTGAGGGCCACATTGAGGCATTTGCCACTGTGCGCAATCGAGCGATGTATCTGAGGGCCATTTCAGGCATTTGCCACTATGCGCAATCAAGCGCTGTATCTGAGGGCCATTTGAGGCATTTGCCACTATGCGTAATCGAGCGCGTATCAAAGGATCATTCGTGTTATTTGCCACTGTGCGCAGTTGAGCGCTGTATCAGAGGATCATTCGTGCTATTCGCCACTGTGCGCAGTTGCACACCTTATCAGAGGACCATTTGTGTTATTTGCCACCGTGCGCATTTGCGCACCGTATCTGAGACCCATTTGTGCTATTTGCCACTGTGCGCAGTTGCGCACCGTATCAGAGGACCATTTGTGCTATTTGCCACCGTGCGCAGTTGCGCACCGTATCTGNCATTTGTGCTATTTGCCACTGTGCGCAGTTGCGCACCGTATCAGAGGACCATTTGTGCTATTTGCCACCGTGCGCAGTTGCGCACCGTATCTGATGCCCACTTGTGCTATTCACCACTATGCGCAGTTGCGCACTGTATCAGAAGACCATTCGTGCTATTTACCACTGTGCGCGGTTGCGCATCGTATCAGAGGTCCATTTGTGCTATCTGCCCTGCGCGCTGTTGTGTATACCACACTTGAAGGCCATATCTGAGTGCGCAGTATGCGCATCGCATTTGAAGGCTATCTCGTTGTTTGGCAACTGTGCATCCCATACTTGAGGGCCATATCCGAGCTGGCAACTGTGCATACCGCACTTGAGGGTCATATCCGAGTTGGCAACTGTGCATACCGCACTTGAGGGTCATATCCGAGTTGGCAACTGTGGATACCGCACTTGAGGGCCATATCCGAGTTGGCAACTGTGCATACCGCACTTGAGGGCCATATCCGAGTTGGCAACTGTGTATACCGCATTTGAGGGCCATATCCGAGTTTGCAACTGTGCGCAGTCTGCACGATGCACTTAAGGGCTAAAATCTGATTTTTCTTGCAACTGTGCGCAGTATGCGCACTATATTTGAGTATTATTTGCAAGTGCTATTTCCAAACAGTGCCATTTCTGACCGATTTCGGACTCATAGCACAAGTGTCCATTTCAGTTGAATGGATAGTAAATAGCTGATTTTGAGCTTGTACTTGTTGTTTTGATGACAATAGTAGTCTGGCCCAAAGTAAAGGCCAAGTTTAGCATATGGAAATCCTGTTGTAAACAGTAAGCAAAGATCGATTGTCGCTTGACCGACAGATTGAGCATGCGACAAGAATATTAATATTATTAATTTTTAAGTGCGCGCCCACGTGTGCCCAGATCAGATATTTATTTTCAGCGAGCGCCCGCACACGCCCAGACCAGAGTGCGCGCCCAAGCTTGAGAGTGTGCGCCCGTGCGCGCCCAAGCTTGATATAGCAATTAGAGTGCGCGCCCAGGCTTGAGAGTGTGCGCCCATGCGCGCCCAGGCTTGAGAGTGCGCGCCTATGCGCGCCCAAGCTTGATATTGCAGTTAGAGTGCGCGCCCATGCGCGCCCAAGCTTGATATTGTTGTTAGAGTGCGCGCCCATGCGCGCCCAGGCTTGAGAGTGCGCGCCCATGCGCGC